TGAAAAACAGGAAGATGTATGTGAGAGTTGACCAGACTCGGGAAACCAATAAGAAGGAAAAAACAAACAAGCAAAATACAGAATTCCTGAAGAAATGTACACTATATTACAAAGTGCTCAAAGAACAGAGTTGCCTGAAAAAAAGTAATAAAGGACACTGAGAAAAGGAGTGAAAAACAAAAGAATAAAAACAAAATAAAGATTAAAAAGGAAAATGACATGATAAACATAAAAGATGGACAGGAAAGATTAAATACATGGAGAACCAGAGTCCCTGGGAAAAAACAAAACAAAACAAAACAATGAAACAGAACTGATATTTTAAATTATACATCAATAAAACTTTCTGGAAATAAATGAATTATCTACATATCAAAAGGGCCCACTGTGTACCTGGAGATGGTGACCCAAATAGTCAACTCTGAGACACAGTGTAGTAAAATTACTCAACTTCAATGAAAAAGAAATTAAAATATACTTTGGTCCTCTAGGCAAAAAGACAAATCACATACAAAATAAGAAAACGAGGTTGGTGTCAGTTCCTCAACAGCACCAAATAAAATTTGTTGGAACTATGTAAGCATATTCAGACCGCTTAATGTCTCCAACAGTGAAAGACTGCTCTCTCTTTAGCCTCCATCACCAAAATGGAGGCCCGATACCTTACTGGGCTCTTTAGATATTGAAGTAAGTGTATCCCCTACGCGCGCATTCTTAGTCATTTATATAGATTAACTCACAAATCAGAGTCCTCTGAGTAGGCACCAACCCAACATGTTGCATGGGATATGTCCAGGAAGCCCTGGCATACTATCTACCTTTGGGGACACACAAACCTAATGAACCCTTCAAATTACAAGTCTGTGTAACTGATAATGTTGCTGATTGGAACCTATGGGACGGGAACATCTGTTGTCCTCCATTTCTCAGTACTCACTTACTTGATTTTTGGACACGCTACCTGCCTGACATAGCTACTAAGTATATAATGCAGTAATGCCTCGGTTTGCGAGCATAATTAGTTCCGGAAACAAACTACTTGTATTGCAAGACATCACTTGTTTACCAAGTTAAAATGTATTATTAGGTTGGTGCAAAATTAATTGCGATTTTTGCCATTACGAGTAGTTTTTGAATGGCAAAAACTACTCGTAATGGCAAAAACCGCAATTAATTTTGCACCAACCTAATAGAAATGTTTGCTTGTCTTGCAAAACTCTCATAAACCAAGTTACTCGCAATCCAAGGTTTTACTGTACAAGTAAATGCCTAATATCCCTATTTTGAAGTCGATCAATTTGGACCCAATGACTAATAAGGTGAAAGGGATTTAACAGGCCTTGCTTGCTAAATGGAAATGGTATGTTCAGCAGTGCAGCTGACCTGGCCAGGCAGCCTATCAATCTTACATAAAAAAAGAGGCAGTAGTCGTTTTTTCTTTTTGGCAGGGGGTTGGGGGAGAACCTTATCCCCCATCAGTACCCAAAGTAAAGCCAATGCCTCAATGTAGCCCTTAATTCACAGATGCTACCCTAAATGTCTAGGCCTGGTTTATGGATGACTCTAAGTTGAAACCTGATGGTGTCCGATGGGCTATTGCGACTGTTCAGCCTCAGAGACAGCTATGTAATATCAAAGCAGATGTAATTTCTGCTCAGTGGGCAGAGATCAATGCAGTCCTCATAGTTCTGACTCAGATTCCCTCTGATAAACTTCTACTACAGTTTTATTGACTTTTGCCAATGGCCTAACCATACAGTCTGCCACTTGGAAGACTACAGACTGGCAGGTTAAAGACACACCTCTTTGAGGATGCTGCTCTTTGGTGAAACAAATTGTGCCTGCCAAATGGTCATTAACAGGTCACTAATGTGAATGTCAACAGTAAAGATCCATCATGTGATGAGATCAACTG